TTAGCCAAAGTGAAAAACAGTTAAGTACATTATGTATACATTTTCTCTCCACAGAATCAAATGCCATTTCAAAATCAATAAGGAGCAGAGGCTGGTATCTGGTTTGATTATGTGTAGTCTAATATATCATAAATAAATCTAGTCACTTAGCCTATATATCTACTGTCACGCGACTCGCGTGTGTGTTATGCAACATGGCCGTAAGTACCTGCGCATTTGTTTATTCAGCTCATTTAGTTGAGCCGTGCGTCCCATGTTGCTAATTTTTGCATGTTATGCATTATAATTAACACCTCTTTACACCTATGTATGTACCCTCTTGTATAGAAGTTTGCTATCTTTTTGTATGTGTGACTTCCGTCACTGTATTTGTTTTTATAAGGGAGATATAAGCGTTTATGCCGCTCCAACCTATACCTCTTATGTATACCCATTATGTTATCAGGGTTTTTGCTAACTACAAAACTGTACAAACTATTGTCTCATTATCCACCTATATATATTTGTAGTAGAGCTCGCGCTCTTCTTATACATGTATTCCCCTTTCACTGTACATACGCTTACAATTTAGTCATAGTCGTTTATGTACCCAAGTATTGGTACACTTCTTTGCTGGTCAGAGGCTAGATGCAAACTTTCAACTCGTGTCGTGTATTGTTCTCTGCGACGTCCGCGCGTTTACGTTATAGCTTGACGTGGCCAGTTGTCCAACACACTTGGGAAAGTCTAGACTACTTTGTGCATGTCGGCCTGCTACCAGTTGTCATTCGCCGCATCGTGGGACGACCTGAGTAGCTCAAGACTTGGGAGCTCAAGACTGTTTTTTGTGGTGGTATATCTTGTTCTGGTCTGTTTGTCCTATTGGTCACTTGGGGATGTTTATTGGGCCGATACTTTCCATGTAAGTGGCAGTAGTTAGGTACTTGTTATTCCGGTATCCTCCCATTACCCCTACATCCCATTACCCCTACAGCTTATAACAACAAAGTTCACGGTCCAATGCACTGCTAATCCCCTTCCTGTTACCTGTTACTTTTGGTAAACTTTTTACTAGCATCCTAAACGAGAGATTAAATAAATTTTGTGATGATAACGATATAATATCGCATGTCCAATCCGGTTTCCGAAAAGGCTTCTCCACAACAGATAATGTGTTTATTATTCATAATTTGTTAAATCATTTGAAGAAATGTAAAAAGAAACTCTTTTGTGCCTTTATTGATTTTTCGAAAGCATTTGATAAGGTTTGGAGAATTGGACTGTGGACCAAATTAAGACAAACTGGTATCAAGGGTAAAATACTGACTTTAATACAAAATATGTATAATGATATAAAATCTTGCGTTATGGTAGAATCTGCAAGATCAGATTTCTTTTATTGTCTTTCAGGAGTTAGACAAGGAGAAAACTTGTCCCTCTTTTATTTTCTTTATTTCTAAATGACTTAGAATCCCATTTAGAAGAACAAGCATGTGTCGGTATTGAATTAAAACAAATAATGATGAGTTTATTATTTATCTAAAATTGCTAGTTCTACTTTACGCTGACGATACAGTCCTCTTAGCTGAAACTCATGACGATTTACAACATACACTGAATAAATTTTGCTGTATATTGCGACATATGGAAACTTAAAGTAAATATTACTAAAACTAATATTATTCTTTTTGGTTCCGGACCTGCAGCTAGTTATAAGAAATCGTTTACACTATATGATGATAGAATAGAAGTTGTAGACACTTATAAATATCTGGGAACTCTACTACACAGAAATGGTCGTATGAATTTTGCTGTTAAACACATAGCCGATCTTGGCATGAAGGCATCAATAGCGTTACTAAAACGTGCCAGAAATGTTAAGTTGCCACTGGACCTGCTCCTTTCTGCATTTGATAGATTAGTAGTACCAATATTGATGTATGGATGTGAAATATGGGGACATGAGAAGACTGACATGATAGAAAGAGTACATCTAAAATTTCTTAAATTAGCAATTGGTTTTAAAATATAACACCCTAATTTCATGGTGTACGGGGAGCTTGGTAGGGAACCTATTCAGCTTCAAATTTCGAAACGACTAATCTCGTACTGGTGTAAATTGACATTATCACATCCAAATAACAAAATAGCAACTTTCATTCTTCAATATATTACTAAACAAAACAAAACATCGAATAACTGTGTCTGGTTCAGTCATATTAAACATATTCTCTGTAGGTGCGGATTGCCTGACGTTTTTGACAACCCTCATCTATACTCAAATTCATGGATCATTTCAAATGTTGAATCTATCTTAAAGGACCAATTTTGACAATCGTGGACGAGCGATATGCAAAACTCCTCTAAAGGAATATACTATAAAGTTCTGAAGCGCTCTCCAAACTTCGAAAAAATACCTACTTCTCTCAGATGCTATTTCTAAACCGATCCTAAAATTTAGAACATGCAACCATAAACTCCCTATAGAAACAGGGAGATGGCAAAATATACCAAAAGAACACAGAGTTTGTAACTTATGTGACTCACATTTGATCGGAGATGAGTTCCACTATTTGTTTAAATGTAATTATTTTGCAGACATACGTAAATCGTTGTTAAAAGAACCTTATAGTTCCTGGCCAAATTTATCGAAATTCCGTCAACTGTTTTCAAGTAAAATATCTACCCTGAAAAATGTATCCAAGTTCATCAAGATTGTTTGCAAACACTTTAATTGATGCATCATTTAGTCATCTTGTTGTACATATTGTATGTAACATACCTCTTTGTTATACTCATGTACCACCGATGGTGGATTATTTTGAGTAATAAACGTGTGATGATGATGACTAGCCCAAACACATGAAGACAAGATTTAATGTTTTAATTTATGGATTTAATTACACAAATAAATGAATATAATACACAGATTTCTTCCTGGTCGTGACATTAATCTGTGCAGCAGGTCATGTTAACTTTTTAATGTTAATGTTTGTCTTTTAAACAAGTCTCTATCCCAATTTGAGGAGATGGCCCACAGCGTCAAGGAACTGCTTGGTGTTTTCAGCCCAAGAGGCGACACAAACGATGCTCCATCTCTCTGTACACTCTCTTTCTGCTTCTCTGTGCTGCTCCAAAGTCTATATGGGAAATTTTCGCTCTCTCAGCGTGTTCAACTTTCCTGATCACCTCCACAAATCGGTAGATGTTGGGGTGTCGATGTGGGAGTCCCCGGTTCAGGCGGTTGTGGAATCCCTCTAGGTTGTTGTTTGTCCTTGGACCTGTTGTTGAGTGATGGTTCCACAGTGGCAGACGGAATCTTGCGTCGTCGTCGACCCAGGTACTCACCATGTAATCGTTGAAGGTGGCCGCTCTTGGTACATCGGGAGCGTCGTCCATGGCGTCAACCCACGTGTCCTGGATACTGTTCTGGGGTAACAGGGGTAGTCCAGCCCTCCTTCTTACCCATCTGGATATTTCCAGATCCTCTCTGTAAGCAACAGCAAGTCCCAGATCCTGGACCTTCCTCTAAATGGCCTGGCAGTAGTGGAAGAAGCAACCCTTTACTTCAGGAGTCGGAAACTCTCTCTCTATAGCATGAATGGCGAAGACCAGCCATGTTGATGTCATGTTAGTTTGTTTCCAACATTTATATACCATGCTAAGTCATCTCAAATTACTTGTCTCATCTCAGTGTCAATTTCAACATTTACTTCATTTCAACTTAACAAACTTTCTCTAACCAAGAACACCTTAATCCTTTCTAATTTGTATACACAACACTTTAATCGCTCCCATGGGTAAGTTCATTATGCCAGACAGGTAAATGCCGTGTGTTGTTTTAAATAATTGTAGGGGTACTGGGATGTAGGGGTAATGGGATACAACCGTTATTCCCCACTCATTAGGTGTCACCGGTCGATATATGGTCTGATCCCTGAGCTGGTCTATTAAGGCGAGTTTACTTAGCTAGCTACGTGTTGTTTTTAGCGGCTTGTTGTTGTGCTTGGGGTTCAAATTCATTCATGCTTGAGCGGGAACTTAGCTTTAATAAATGGTTGTATCAACAATGTGGTTGGTTACTAATCTGGATCATTTTCCGTCCAGTCTCCCTGGATGGTAGTTGGCACAGTGACACTACCCGATACAAAACCCTTTTGATCCTCATGGATAATCAGTGGTAAAATTGGGTTTATCCTATATGCAAATGTCGATGCTGCTAATATATAAGTAGTACTTAAAAGAATAATAGGGGGCCATTTTTTTAGAAAGAGGTTTGATTTGTTTTCTTTAGGTAAGCAAGTGATTAGGTCTTGTGTTTGGCTAGTAGAAAAGGCGCCTATTTTATAATGCATAATTTAAAGCATGTATCAAATATTTATTGAGGTCTAACTATAAATACTTCTGGGCCAGGGTCCCGTTGTACAAAACAACCTTTACTAAGGTTGAACTTAGTCACTAAGGTTGACCTTAAGGTAACCTTAACATAAAGTTACGCCCGTTGCACAAAGCTACCTTTGGTCAACCTTAACTCTGGAAGGATACTTAGCGTCAACCTTAGCTAAGGTTGAAATCTTTAGTGCCGGAGATACAATTATGTCCGTAGTTACGGTTGTGAGTTATCTCCCCTGCTCGTATCAGCAGACGACTAGTGTTATCAATACTTCGGCATGGCAGAGGCGTCTACTAGCAGTGCACGAAAACGGAACAGGTTGTCAAACTATACACCGAGCGAGCTAACAATGCTGGCCGATGAGGTGAAGTGTCGAAGCCACATCTTGTTTGGATCTTTTTCTTCATCTATTACCAACCAAACTAAACTGAAGGAGGGATGCAATAGCTGCAAAGTAAGTGTCTTCATTTTTTATCTTAGCAGATAGCATTGAATGTTTTGTAATCGCACGCTTGTCTATGTATCATTTATGTTATGATACTAAGTTCACAACCCCCCCCCCTGGGCATTCTATTTGTATTTCTGCTGAAAAGATTTAATTTTGATATTTTTTTGTATACACTGCAGGTTTGCTGAGACATACTTCTTGGAAATTAAAAGTGATAGACAAATTAAATATGACGTTCATTGGATATATGAAATATATCATATTATTGTCACTGTTCCAGGATAAGTGCTTGCTCTTCAGTGGAAAGAACAGGGGCACAACTAAGAAAAAAATGGAATGATTATAAGTAAGTGTCAGAAAGTGTGTGTGTGTGTGTGTGCGTGTGCGCTTACATGTGCATGCCATTGTAGGTTGTGGTAAATTAAGTTCTGTTGTTTTGATGTATAATAACATTATTTAAGCAAAAAGGACAAACAATTACTAGTATTTGAAAACATAAAAATAAGCTTTTTATTTACAATGTGAATTGGATATGTCAGGAAATAACTAATTTTCACATGATTAATTTACAGATCTCAGGTGAAAAGAAGAGCCATGGATGTCAGAAAAGAATCATCCAAAACCGGAGGTGGTCCAGCTCCAGTACCTCTGACTGATCTGGAATTTAAAGTAATCATTAAGTTTTAATTTCATTTTGACAATGTTAATTCAGGGATACCAGGATATAAAGGCTATGATAAAAGTGTTCTCTCATAACAACCACCACCACTCCCTGCAGGGTTACAACATTATATTCACATCTGTTGATTTATTCCTTCCTAGTACACACATATTGAAATATAAATATTTATGTTTTTAGGTTGTATCACTGATTCCACAGTGCCAAATTGAAGGGATAACTGGTGGATTGGAGTCTGAGGTTGATGAAAGTGAGTGTTTTTTCTCAATCAATGTCAGAATATGTTCCAAATCGTTAAAACAATCTTTAAGCTGATTGAATATTTTCAAATCATTTCCTCTGTTGCATTGTGTATTTTTCAATAATTATTACTGATAGTCATATGAATATTAGCTTGGTCTGACATTACATAGATGATTAGGTAATAAATAACATAAATCTTTCAGTTTTTCAAACACTGAACATGGTCAGTGATAGTGGCCTTCCCACAGAAGACTACTTGATTCGGCCTTCACCAGCGATGAGAGGAAGAGCAACGAAACACCTGGTATGCTTAATTAATATTTTTAAAGGCATGTTTAAAAGTTAAATTTGTCATCAAGTCAGTTAGTCACAGCTTAAAAATGTCATATATATGTACTTACAATGTGTATTGACAGAACTTTAAGTCCTTTAATTCCTTTGCAGGTCCTATATCAATGTATGGAACCATCAATGGTGATGAGGCTACCTCTATGGCTGAACCTGTGGAAACAGCAGATCAGCCATGTCATAATTCAGCCTCAAATGGTAAAAAATGATAAATAAAACAATTGGAGTGTTGTTTAAATTCTACTGTTTCTCTAGGATATTAATGTGATGTTACATTAGTCGTTTAATAGTTATATTAGGCATTTTAATATTTATTTAAAACAGATGTATTTTCTGGGATGTTACAGATAAGGACCTAAAGCTTGAACAGGGGCAGGCAAAGAAAATCTGGTATGAAATTGTTAAATATGTTGCATGAAATGTTATTTAAACATGCCAAAACTATTTTTTTCTATCCATATCATCATGGAATAAGAATTCTCAATAATATCAATAATAAATACAATGTGTTTACAAATACTTTTTAAGGCCTCTACAATTGATTTCTTCGTACATTTTTTATCGGAATGAAATGTAGAATGTTGATCAATGAGCAAATAACATGGAAGTGCTGGTAATGTAATATAAATTGAATTTTATAACATTTATTGCAGAAAACCCAAAGCAGCAGCCTTTCCAGATATGTTGCCTCCATCATGGAAATGGAGACAACAAAAGCGGATGCCCTCAAAGAGCTGATTGAGGTAAAAAGAAGATGTTAAAAATATCGGAAGACCATCTCACTTTAGAGCGAGAAAGACTTGATCTGGAGAAACTGCAAAATTTCAACTGCTGCAACATATGCTGATGAATCCAGGCAACAAATCTCCCAATACTCTTTTCCCAGTTATCCAATTTATGTATTCTTCCTAACCATGATAACATCCCATGTGCATCTTACCTGTGTTTAAAAGCAAAATATTCATAATTTTTGTTGTTATCTATTTTGATATCTGCAAATACATGTTCATCTATGTTACTGTAATAAACATAAATACATGCATTTAATCAACCTATGGCTACTGTATTTTGTTTGCTTACAGTCTATGTAAATCTCTCTGCAATCAGCTTCCTCCTTGTTGAACATCCATCCTGGCTAGAGACAGGACAGTTTTCCCCAGTAGCATGATCAACTTCCATGTCAGTGTCATCCTGGTGGTGGTGCAATATTTTTGTCTATGCAGAAGTTGTGCAGCTTGAAAGCAGCCATGATTACAGCCACACATCTTTGTGGACTGAACCATAAACATCCAGTAGACTTATGGAGACATCTGAAAAGTCAGATAAACATTACTGTAGTTACGGTAAAAAGTTATGCCTTAAATATTATGTTTGTACAGTTTCTAGTTATGTTCAATTTCAACTAAATTTTCCATAAACAAATAAATGATATTCTTTATCAGGTGAAACATTAATGTTCTTCACTGGTTGTATTATTCTTTAAATTAACACACAGATATAAATTTAATATTCTCATGTACATTATGAATATTACAGCTCAAAAGATAATCGAACTATCCTGGTGCACTTATACAATGGAATATATAACAAAAAGGAGGAAATCAAGAAGCCTTTAGCTTATTCTTAATCCAAAGAGTAATACTATATATATCTATATTTTGTCATATCACCATTCATACACAAATGGAACCATGAATATAATACCTGAATCTTGACTTTAACACTCCAAATGCCCTTTCAACTGTGTTCCTTGTCCTGATATGGGCTGCATTGTACCTCTGTTCTGGCTTTGTCTGAGGATCTGCTAAGGGGGTCAGCATCCAAGGTCTGCATGCATATCTGTACAATGAGTATGAGGTACATAACATTAATTTTTTTTAAATGTATGATATCAATAATTGGTATAGCAGCGATTATACTTGGGCTACACAGGAATGATATATCTGTTTACTGCACTTCAAACGTATAACTACCACAACATATACTGATGACTATGGTTAAATGGTTTTACCCTGTGAATCGCTGCGTAGCCAGCCATCAGGTGCAGTTTCTTCCATCTTCATGCCAACTTGACTGTTACTCCATATCAGGGAGTCATGAGTTGAACCAGGCCACTTGGCAACCACGTTGGTAAAACTGAAATGGTGAACGTCGTTAAAGTAACCGATGACAGTGTATTTCTTTCTAACTTATTACTTTCACGCCGATATTCCTGCAACTTCTTCTGTAACTTGCTGACCTGTCAAATCAGTAAAATCAACACCGTGCACAGAATAATTTGGAGCAAAATGTTTGTTTAAAAAGAATTTATTTACTTAAACTAAATGAATTCTGACAGAAAATAATCCTGAAACGATTGCTGTATAAATGGGTACAATAAATTACTAATTTAAAACAGACTGAAAATGCAGCTCGTTTCATTTGACAAGAAAGTAGTTTCGGCTCGTTTGTAAGGGTCAAAGGCCGTTGCTAATGTAAACAGAGATGCGTAGTTTGCGGACCACTAACCAGTTCATCATTTTTCTTTCAACATTAAGAGATAGTACTTGGTAGATATCGAAAACAAGTGTAACTAAATATGATAACTTTAGACGTAAATGTATGTCTAGTTTATATCTTACCGGAGAGAACTGTCGCATATCGCTTGCACATTGATTGCATGGTATCCCTTGCGGCATACGTAGGCGGCTTCCTCGTTTGGTGAAGGTCGTTTGATTGGAATAAGTGTTCCGTCTACAGCGCCGAGAACTTTGGGGAAATGACCGACTCGGTAGAAATCTTGTTTAACTTTAGTTTGCTGTTCTAGACTCCAGGGAAAAGTAATATTGTCTAACACCGTACATATTGCATTCACCGTGCAATGGAAGCCCCGAGAAACACTGGATTTGTCCAGACCATGTAAATCTCCAATTTCAGAAAGAAATCCTCCTTTTCCCAGATATCTCAAAGTTAAGAGGACTTGTGATTCGACTGTCATAGCGTGGGAACGCTGTGTCGGTCTTTCGACCATTGGGCGAACTTTGTCCACAAGGCAGAAAATAGCTTCGCGTGTGAGTCTATACCGGGATATGAGTTCTAAGTCAGTCAGAGTTTCTAGTTGGATGGTTCTGTCTCGGAAAACACGCTGTTTTCTCAAACTTTTTCTAGTTTCATCATGCATCAACAAGAATGTAGCCATATTGTATTTACTCGAAATGTCAGCCTTAGCCACACTAAGGTTGGGTCGGACTAACCTTAAATTTTCACCTTAACTAAGGCTACCTTAGCGTAAGGTAGATTCGTACAACGGGACGTCAACCTTAGCAAAGGCCTAAGGTTAAAACTTAAGGAAATAAGGTAGCCTTAGAGCTAAGGTTGTTTTGTACAACGGGACCCAGGACTCTTTCAGTTTTAGTGATTCAAGAACTTCATTATACGTCAGCTCCCCTCCTAAGGAAAGTGATTTTTGAGAGTCTAACCATGGCACCGATACTTTAGCAAAATGGTTTTCCAGATCAGTCTGTGTACAGTCTTCAGTTTCATACTGTAACAATAATTCTACATGCATCAACTGTAATAACAGACACTCAGGGTCTCATCTTCTTGCACTGAGACAAGGTTGTGCACTAGCAGGTCCACTTAATTAACCCGACCTGTAAATCTCGCTCGTGTCCGTCGTCTTCATAGCCCCGGGATCACAAGGTTATACCTTGCAATAAAATTTTCAAATGTCTGTATTTTAGGATGACGGAATTAATTTCCAAGGGGACGAAACCTACCCACATTCTTGCACTTGCTAACCGATGGGGTGTCTTTAAGTTGGGCTAGTGATAGAGGTAGGTGAGTAAGGTGACTTCATGAATGAACTGAGTTAATAATTCACATACTCTTACTGTGTGTAGACGGACGCCACCAAGACGGTTGTTTACCTTAATTATATTTCTAGATGTATATATAGTGTAACGCTGCTCTAGGGCTTGGTCGAAACTGTGCACACGATGAGAGCCGAAGTTACCGGCGGGAATAAGCCCGATTGGTTTTACACACGTAAACGTTTACTTTTGCAGCTGTGTGTATTTATATACTTTCAATTCAAATTAATTTCAATTAATAATGTCTGTTACTGACCAATCCCAGCATGGTATAGCGTACCGACCCTGATAGGGTAATAAATTGTTAATTTGACATGAACAGATCTTCATGAAGTTGTAATCCGACCTTAACTTACCTTTGTACACTTGCAACGTTTGATTGCTATGAAGTTTATTGGAAATTGTCTTTTAGGGACTCCACGTCAATGTTAATGCATTGTGGTAATCAAACTGGGGCTTGGCGACCACTTTCTAAACAAAAGTTACACAAAGGTTACCTCTTTACTTTACTTGTGTAAGTGGGTTCTGCATTAAAAGGTAAAGATTTCAACGTGAGTCTTACTAATAACTGACATCCCGCTTGATAAGAGAGTGTATTTGTTGGCAAGGATACAATGTAAAAAAGTTGTCCAAGGAAATACTTTGGAAAAATAGTCATTGGCACACAAACACGTAGTTGAAAAAAAATTTCGGCTCATACCTTTAATTAAAAAACTATCTTGTTTCGCAGCTGTGGCTGACAAATATATCCAGTCCCTATACAAAACCGCAAATTAATATGTCTAGACCTACACTGTAAATGGGCACCAGCGAAGTATAGTCTAGTCCATGTTATTGGATAGGGACAAGGGAATAAGGTTTTCTCCAAGTGCATATTCTTGCCACAAATTATCCGTAATTTGGTGATTCCCGTACATCTTCCTATACGCTGTTATTGATTAAAGTGTAACCTTCAAACGTATGAGAACGTGCCTTTGTACATGTCAATATATTGTTCCTGAACAGAATTGAGACATTCAAAGCCTTTGTTAACTCGAGATTCTGGAAGAATCCGCAGCGATACTAAAATATATACAGTTAAATGCCTATAGTGCTTCTACCTATAATGAATAAATTCAACAAAATCTCTGTATGGTCGCTACTTTAGATATTGAATCAACTTTCCTTCATTGCGAAATACAAAAGATGACTTCTGACTTGCAGACTGAATAAGAGAATATTGCATGGATGTGGGGCTGACAAGCAACCGCTGTATATAACTCATCATCAAATCCAGTTGGAATTGCACAGACGTGTGGTGCTGGGAACAATCTCTAAGGACACATATGGACACCGGTGGTTCACAGGAACTCGTTTCATTAAGAAAGAACATTGATTAAAAACATTTCAGTCTGTAGTGGTACGTGTGGTCTCTTTCTTCAATCCAGTTAAACAAATTTATTTTCATTCATAGAATGAATGAGTATTATCATACAGATAACTATCGAGTTAGAAACATATTTCTTCAAAGTGTTCAAAGCTTTGACGGACCACCTACGTGGTACAGTGGATATAGCGTTTGCCCAGAGCACGGAAATTCGGTGGTTCGAACCCCTGGCCGCGGCACACTAAAGCATGTTAAAGAATGTTATGTGTTGGTACAGACAAACGCAGGCACGCACGCACCAGTCATACGAAAACAAACACGAGAACACATGGTATAATGATGGTCACGATCAAGACATCAATGGCCACTCAAAATGCGAATTTCGGGTTCAGTAGCAATGTACAGCGAATCATAAAACGACACAGTACAGCGTTTAACAAGATCTGCCCAGAAATGTGTAAAACAGACCTTGTAATCGACAACACGCAAAGCTACCACTGTAAATTATGGATTAGATTCCTTTGTGTTGATTGAATCACCTTGACAAATATCACAAACGCCCAAAAGAAAAAAGATAAAAAAAGAAGAAGGTTTTTCATCATCCGGGTCGTGTTTCAAACAACGCTTCTCTGTTTTATGTCAACGCTGCCAGATGTTGACCCGTGACCTTTGATCTTCACTTTCTGCGGAGCAATTGACACATTGTGTGATTGGATTAATGTGGATTTGTCAATTGGACCATGTGATGTCGAGATGTTATTGTTCGGAAAAGGAATTGTTCAGGATGATTATTCAGACTACGAGAGTTCTAAGAGACTTTAAACCCAGCTCAAAGGTCATGAATGTACAAAACGGATGAGTCTTCGTTACATGTGTGACTTAATGCCATACAATATAGGTAACACCATGGTCTGAAATAACCTGGAATATTGGATGTGTGTTCCCTCATTTTAGGTGTACAATGGTTTGTTGGATTCTTGTTGTCACAAATGTATTTCTTCGCATCAAAGGAACGTGTTAGGTGTGTGTTAAAAGACAGTAATGAGTTTTTGTTTCATATCAAAATATCCTTATTACCTCCACCCGCCCCCATCCCAACCCCCCAAAAAACTCCAACAAAACAAAACAAAACAAAACAAAAAACAAACAAAAAACCCCAACCTTTTGGGGCAGACATAAGCATGAGATTATGTTAACTATTCATACACCTAGTCATGAAAAACTGTTGTTATGTCTGCTGACAAAACATATTTGCCTCTTTTGCTTAGTGAACCAATGCTAATTTGGCATTATCATATAAATGTGGTAAAAAGCAATTCAGATAGTATGTATAATAAAAGGACATACCGTGGCTATTGAGATCGATTTCTTGTCTGGTATTTTGTATATCTATACGTGATCTGCATTGTAACGATGTCCTGAATGTGTCTAGACACCTATCAAACGTTTAATATTCCACAGGATATGTATATCACGAAGTACGAACCCTGCTGGTATCTCAGGTACGTTACACATATCAACCATTTATCGTCGTTGGCGAAGCGCGAGTGCGTGTTTACGATATGCCAACGAATAATCTGAATTCGCATATTCTCAATACCTATATGCCTACTACAGCCATACCCCATTCCTTTGTACCCCGGTTTCCTACTCCCTATGTTGTATACTAAGTGTAATGAACGACAGTCAGGCTATCGGTTAAAATCAGAGTGCGTCTTCACGATATGCCTACTCCCTTGACGCTTATTCCGAACTAATCCCAATACACCTATCACAATTAAGCCTTCTTCCAACATGTCTACTCCCATTATGTATTTTCCTACTATACGTAAAACCATTTAGCCTCTTCCCCATATACCTCCTGACAGTATGGCTATTCCTAATACACCACTGTTAAGTCTATTTCTCTTACACCTACTGCCGTTAGGCCTATTACCAATAAACATACTACCATTGAACCTGTTCCTAATAAGCTACTACCATTATGCCTATTCACATTATACCTACGACAATTATGCTATTTACATAGCACTTATTCATATTGCACCTACTACCATTATGCCTATCCACAATACACCTACTACCATTAAACCTATTCCCAATACACCTACTACCATTAAGCATATTAACAATACACCTTATACTATCAAGCCTATTCCTATTACACCCTCTTTTCATTCGGCCCTTTCCCACTGGAGGTGTGCACCTCCTACTATCAAGTCTATTCCAAATATACCAACTACCATTCCCAACGTTCCTGCTACCAGTATGCCTTCTCTTCTTCCAAAACAAACTGCAACAATCAAATATGTGAAACTCAAAGTATTCTTATAATTATATACATACTATAGCTATTGCCCTGATGGAAAATAAACAGTAAACGCACGCACCCGCACTCTGTTCAAGCAAACATTCACTGTAAATTCTATGTAAATAAAATCAAGCCATTCGAAGTTAATGCAATCGGAACCCTTCTCTATAGATCACATACATGCCATTTTATGAATATAGTTCTTACTGATCAACCACAACCTTCCATATTACAAAGTGTCAGAAAAATCATATTATAAAGTCATATTACATCTGCCAAAAGCACGTGCTTGCAAAGCCAAGGGCGACGGCTGTCAATTTTGATCCTACACATTTATCAACAACTACCTCTCCGATTACAAGAGACATGTTGCTTGGGCCATAATGGCATCTACTGGAAAACATTGATGCAAATGTAGGACACTGTCAGGGATGTCAATATCACTTAACACGTCATCGGGTTCAATGTGTTGAATCTGCTGCCTTCTGACTATTTTATACACACGTCATCAAACATAATGGACCATCTCAGGCGCCAGCGATCGTCATTTAAAAATACAGGTGATTCACCTGATGAAGAAGCAAGAATTAGCTATCGAACGTCATGTAAAGAATAAAAGAAGTTGTTATCCATAATGGTGACATGCATTCATGTTCGTCCAACTTCTAAATGCCTTTCAAAAACTTCAGAACGATAACCGTTACTAAATATTCCAACCTCCAACCTTTAAAAAAATATTTTAAAAAATATTAATTAAAAAAACCCAATAACCCCGCCACCCCCACCTCCAGTAAAA